GAGGAAAGGCTGCGGGAAATGCACCTTACGACACTGGAAGACAGAAGAGTAAGGGGAGACATGATCACAACCTACAAAATCCTCAGGAGAATCGACCGGGTAAACAAGGATAAACTATTCAACACGGGTGGTACGCGAACAAGGGGACACAGGTGGAAACTGAGAACCCACATGAGCCACAGGGACGTTAGAAGGAGCTTTTTCAGTGTCAGAGTAGTTAACGGATGGAATGCATTAGGCAGTGATGTGGTGGAGGTTGACTCCATACACAGTTTTAAATGTAGATATGATAGAGCCCAGTAGGCTCAGGAATCTGTACACCAGTTGATTGACAGTTGAATGGCGGAACCAAAGAGCCAAAGCTCAACCCCCGCAAGCACAAATAGGTGAGTACACACACACACACACACACACACAGGGGGCCTGGTAGCCTGGTGGATAGCGCGCAGGTCTCGTAATTCTGTGGCGCGGGTTCGATTCCCGCACGAGGCAGAAACAAATGGGCAAAGTTTCTTTCACCCTAAATGCCCCTGTTACCTAGCAGTAAATAGGTACCTGGGAGTTAGTCAGCTGTCACGGGCTGCTTCCTGGTATGTGTGTGTGTGTGGTGTGTGGTGAAAAAAAATAGTTATTAAACAGTTGATTGACAGTTGAGAGGCGGGCCGAAAGAGCAAGGCTCAACCCTCCGCAAACACAACTAGGTGAATACAACTAGGTGAATACAACTAGGTGAATACACACACACACACACACACACACACAAACACATTCAAACACATACGGTGTGTGTATGAGTGGTGATCATGATCACCATATATAAAATTCTCAAGAGGAATTGATAGGGTAGATAAAGACAGGCTATCTAACACAAAGGGCACACGCACTAGGGGACACAGGTGGAAATTAAGTGTCCAAATGAGCCATAGAGACGTTAGGAAGAATGTTTTCAGTGTCAGAATGGTTGACAAATGGAATGCATTAGGCAGTGATGTGGTGGAGGCTGACTCCATACACAGTTTCAAGTGTAGATATAATAGAGCCCAATAGGCTCAGGAACCTGTACACCAGTTTTGACACAACACCCCATAAAAGGCTGATGCATAAGCTGGAGAAATAGGCAGGAGTAACTGGTAGGGTACTCCAGTGGATAAGGGAGTACCTTAGCGATAGGAAGCAGAGAGTTACAGTGAGGGGGTGAGACCTCAGATTGGCGTGAAGTCACCAGTGGAGTCCCACAGGGCTCTGTACTCGGACCTATCCTGTTTCTGATACGTAAATGATCTCCCGGAGGGTATAGACTCATTCCTCTCAATGTTTGCTGACGACGCCAAAATTATGAAAAGGATTAAGACAGAGGAGGACAGCTTGAGGCTTCAAGAAGACCTGGACAAGCTGCAGGAATGGTCGAACAAATAGTTGTTAGAGTTTAACCCAAGCAAATGTAATGTAATGAAGATAGGTGTAGGGAGCAGGAGACTAGATATAAGGTATCATTTGGGAGATGAAATACTTCAAGAGTCAGAGAGGGAGAAAGACCTGTGGGTTGATATGACGCCAGACCTGTCCCCTGATGCTCATATCAAGAGGATAACATTAGCGGCATATACCAGGTTGGCCAACATAAGAACGACCTTTAGAAACTTGTGTAAGGAATCTTTCAGAACTTTGTATACCACATATGTCAGACTTGTCTTGGCATATGCCACATATGTCTTGGAGTATGCGGCTCCAGCATGGAGTCCATATCTAGTCAAGCATACGACTAAACTGGAAAAGGTTCAAAGGTTTGCCACCAGACTAGTACCAGAACTGAGAGGTATGAACTACGAGGAGAGACTACGCGAATTAAATCTCACGTCACAGGGAGACAGAAGAGTTAGATGGGGACATTATCACCACTTACAAGATTCTCAAAGGAATTGATAGGTTAGATAAAGACAGACTATTTAACACAAAGGGCACACGCACTAGGGGACACAGGTGGAAATTGAGTGCCCAAATGACCCATAGAGACGTTAGAAAGAATTTTGTCAGTGTCAGAATGGTTGACAAATGGAATGCATTAGGAAGTGATGTGGTGGAGGCAGACTCTATGCACAGTTTCAAGTGTAGATATAATAGAGCCCAATAGGCTCAGGAACCTGTACACCAGTTGATTGACAGTTGAGAGGCGGGACCAAAGAGCCAGAGCTCAACTCCCGCAAGCACAACTAGGTAAGTACAACTAGGTAAGTACACACACACACACACACACACACACACACACACACACACACACACACACACACACACACACACACACACACACACACACACGTATCTCCTCCCATGCTAATCCCCTGCCAATCTACATTCATTAACCTGATACACTCACGCTGCATATTTCACTTAAACGCCAAACGCTGCCAGGAACTCTTCCAACCATTGTGGGGAAGTTCTTGACTATAATGGTGGTGCTTGCATTGGTGTTGTTTATATTAGTGCTGTTGACATTGGTATTGTTTTGCTAATGTATTTTGTTTTAATTTGTAAGAATATTACTCACGTCTTAAGAGTGAATTAAAAATATTACTCCTCCGGCGATGTTATGAGTAAGGAAGTTGACTCATACGGTAGGTTAAAGAGGCCGGCACGACTCTGATGCTTAGGTCTCTGGTAATCCATTCTCCACTTCAAGACAAAAGTACCGAAACCAACTTTCGTCAACGTTATTAAATGTTTAATTAAACAGAGAGAGAGAGAGAGAGAGAGAGAGGGGGGGGGGTGGGGCTCGGTTGTTGGTTTATGGAAGCATTTTGCTATTGTTTACGATGATGAACTGGTTTACCAGCTCACCAGGAGGGTATACATACCCAGAGGAGTATCCAATTTCTCGGTATACTCTTTTGGTGATGATTTGTATTAGTAGTAGACGGGGGCCACTCGTCATCCAGCCCGTCCTCATCAAAAATGGCCAGTGTTCATTCCATGTAGCCGCCAACCCCCCCAATCTCCTCCCTGTTTATGAATGAAAAACCCTTTACTCACAACCTGTCCTCAGGCCAGGCTCGTTAACGCGACGACCTACCCCCACGACGCATACATTAATTGAAATGTACTGTGTATTAAAAATTAGTTTCTTCTCATATGTAAATTAATATTAATATATATTCAAGTTCAATATATAGTTTGGCGTAGATTAGGTTAGGGGTTTAGGTTCTGTTGGAGATATATATTTGAAGTTACGTGGGTGAAGCATTTATAGCAACCCGTCCTCGACTCAAGTCCATTACATCCAGCGGTCGACCCCACGGATGCATTCATAAGTTTTTACATATTGTTCATTCAAAACAGGAATTTTCTGAAATATAAATTATTATTATAACATATTAGCATATTGGGCATATATAGGCATAGGTTAGGTTAGGTGTTTAGGTTCAGTTGGCGATTATTTGTATTTGTAGTACGTGGGTGAAGCATTTACAGCGTTGTGGTTCGAACAAAATTCGTCAGTGAAGCACTTGTTCCGGAAGTGTTCGAACGAAATCAGTTGTGAGTCGTGTGTAAACCGTTTTTCATTCATAAACAGCTGGGGTTTGGCGGGTGCATGGAATCACTTTTGGGTCTTTGTTTGGAGGACGGGCTGGAGTACTGATGACTAAAACCACATATCAGAAAATGAAGAAACCACGACGTTTCGTCCCTTCCTTGACCATTATCAAGTCGGGTGGTAGAAGGGACAGGCAAATGAATAATAGGGCATGAAAGTGTAGATGAGATATGAGGAGCTTTCTCTCTTACTTTGCCGCGCATTTTGTCGTAAATTCGCAAAAAAAAAGGGACAAAAGTTGACCCCACGACGTCTTCGGTATTTACATACGAATTATTTTCCGATCCTCAGAAAGGGGTCGTTTTTATTCGCCACGCGTCTAATTTGGTCATTAAGTTTCATTGCTCGCTATCGAAAAGTCTACAAAATTACGAAAAATCGTTCGTTTATGCGTAGGCCACTAGGTAAAGGTCTTATGCGTATAGCTACTCGTTAACACTAACACACACACACACACACACACACACACACACACACAAAGCTGAGTACCCAAATTGGAAGCTGAGTACCCAAATGAGCCACAGAGACGTTAGAAAGAACTTTTTCAGTGTCAGAGTAGTTAGCAAATGGAATGCATTAGGAAGTGATGTGGTGGAGGCTGACTCCATTCACAGTTTCAAATGTAGATATGATAGAGCCCAATAGGCTCAGGAATCTGTACACCAGTTGATTGACGGTTGAGAGGCGGGACCAAAGAGCCAGAGCTCAACCCCCGCAAGCACAATTAGGTGAGTACACACACACACACACACACACACACACACACACACATGTCATTTATACACCTAAATCAGGACTCATTCAAGGCAATCCACACAGCCTACAGCTACAGAGCTGAGAGGTATGAGCTACAAGGATAGACTACGGGAATTAAACCTTACTTCGCAAGAAGACAGAAGAGTTAGGGGGGACACGATCACCACATTCAAGATTCTCAAGGGAATTGATAAGGTAGATAAAGACAGGGTATTTAACACAAGGGGAACACGCACAAGGGGACACAGGTAGAAACTGAGTGCTCAAATGAGCCACAGAGATATTAGAAAGAACTTTTTTAGTGTCAGAGTGGTTGACAAATGGAATGCATTAGGGAGTGATGTGGTGGAGGCTGACTCCACACACAGTTTCAAGTGTAGATATAATAGAGCCCAGTAGGCTCAGGAACCTGTACACCTGTTGATTGACGGTTGAGAGGCGGGACCAAAGAACCAGAGTTCAACCTCCGCAAGTACAATTAGGTGAGTACAGAGCTACAACAGTTAACTACTGAAATATCGAACACCAGCCTTGGAATCCGTACATTGTGAAGCATATAAATATGAATTAAAAAGTATTGAGTTTTCCAACAACTTTTGCACATGAACTAAGTTACGAGGATAGGTTAAAGGAACGAAATCTCACAACCATAGAGATGAGAATATACAGAGGTGACGTGATCACAACATACAAGATACTAAAGGTAATAGCCGAGATTGACAAGTACATCCTCTTTAAATTGAAAGACAGCAGGGCAAGAGGTGATAGGTGGAAATTTGGAAACACAAATGAGTCCAAAAGATCTTGGGAAGTCGAGGAAAGATAAAGTAAAATAAAACAGATAAGACAAGGCTAGTAGGCGAGGCATACAGAGCTAGTAGCATACAGAGCATACACTTCCCCGTAGTCACTCAGAGATAAGTACTGATTTGTAAGTACATACACACTAGACATCCGCGATCACAACTTACAAAAGTACTCAGGAATAGGCAGAGTGACATGGCTCGTTCACGAACAACGCAACACACACAGATTGACGTGGGAGATACACGGATGACTGAAATAAAACTGTCGAGGCAGAGGAATGACTTTAAAGAAGCGCGTAGAGGCTAGAGAGGTCTGAGAGTAGCATATATGGAGGCTAGAGAGGTCTGAGAGTAGCATATGTAGAGGCTAGAGAGGTCTGAGAGTAGCATATATGGAGGCTAGAGAGGTCTGAGAGTAGCATATATGGAGGCTAGAGAGGTCTGAGAGTAGCTTATGTAGAGGCTAGAGAGGTCTGAGAGTAGCATATGTAGAGGCTGGGAGGAGTGGCTGAGAGAAGCTTGTAGAGGCAAAACTTATGTGAGGTGAGCTGGGAATGGCTGAGAGTGAGAGGCAGGTGGATGCGAGCCCAGAGAAAGACCAATAACGTGACCCCTTGCATGCAATAGATCGTTAGGGAGCCCTTGCACACGGTACCCCATACACCCCCCCCCCCCTGTGTACCTACGCGGACACCACACTGTATCCTGTATTCTGGCCCCTCACAGTAGCCTGTATCCTGGCCCTCACAATGTATCTTGTATTCTACCCCCTCATACCGTATCTTGTATTTTGATCTTCACAATTTATACTGTATCCAGTCCCCAGGACATGTCTGTGTCTCAGTGTATCTCTTGATCACAGACAACAACAGTCAGCATCTAAAGTCACAATTTAGAAAAATCACTGAATTATCTTTAACACAAAAATATTAAAAGTAGGAGTAAGGGTTCGAACCCTTAAAAAAAAAGATTTCCGTTGAGTTTGTTCAGACGAGAGAAGGTCGCTGGTGTGGCTTCTATAATTACCAAGTTTTTATACGTTTTTAATTACTCTTTTAACATAATTAATTCGCTTCCCAGAGGCGTGCAGGACCTTTCTGGGGAATGGTAATTGTATTGTAAAAAAGTTCCCGGTAAAGGTAAGAAATTAACTTGACAGAAATCCCTCTTATTACATGGTGGTGGCTCAGTAGGTGCGGCCTGCTGTCTATGAGGTCTGTAGTTCGAGGCTCGGATGGTCCACGTGAATGAACTCTTTATGAAGGAATCTTTCATTGTACAGTCTGAATGCATGTTATTGTTGCTGTCCAGCGGGATCCAATCTTATTAATGCAGCTACCAGCTGGATGGTGGTGCTGGGCTTGTTGCCTGTTAACCTCTGCAAGGGTTGTTAAAGCGCCCGTAAGTGATTACTGTTCGAATAGTAAGAATACTTTAGCCTTGGACAGTGTCCAGTACTCAGTCAACTCTCCGTGTATAACTTGCCAGCCACACTTCCGTGGAAATAAACTTTCCATTCATCTGGGCTGTATGGGTCTTGAACCCAGTCGAGGTGAATGGAATCTCTGTATATATATATATATATATATATATATATATATATATATATGTCGTACCTAGTAGCCAGAACGCACTTCTCGGCCTACTATGCAAGGCCCGATTTGCCTAATAAGCCAAGTTTTCCTGAATTAATATATTTTCTTTAATTTTTTTCTTATGAAATGATAAAGCTACCCATTTCATTATGTATGAGGTCAATATTTTTTATTGGAGTTAAAATTAACGTAGATATATGACCGAACCTAACCAACCCTACCTAACCTAACCTAACCTATCTTTATAGGTTAGGTTAGGTTAGGTAGCCGAAAAAGTTAGGTTAGGTTAGGTTAGGTAGGTTAGTTAGTCGAAAAACAATTAGTTCATGAAAACTTGGCTTATTAGGCAAATTGGGCCTTGCATAGTAGGCTGAATAGTGCGTTCTGGCTACTAGGTACGACATATATATATATATATATATATATATATGCACCGAAAACCCAGGGTATACCTCTCGGTATATATATATATTATATATATATATATATATATATATATATATATATACATATATATATATGTCGTACCTAGTAGCCAGAACTCACTTCTCAGCCTACTATGCAAGGCCCGATTTGCCTAATAAGCCAAGTTTTCATGAATTAATGTTTTTTCGTCTACGTAACCTACCTAACCTAACCTAACCTAGCTTTTTTTGGCTACCTAACCTAACATTACCTATAAAGATAGGTTAGGTTAGGTAGGGTTGGTTAGGTTCGATCGTATATCTACGTTAAATTTATATCCAATAAAAAAAAATTTACCTCACACATAATGAAATGGGTAGCTTTATCATTTCATAAGAAAAAAATTAGAGAAAATATATTAATTCATGAAAACTTGGCTTATTAGGCAAATCGGGCCTTGCATAGTAGGCTGAGAAGTGAGTTCTGGCTACTAGGTACGACATATATATATATATATATATATATATAATATATATATATATATATATATATATATATATATATATTTTGTCAACAAGCCTTCAGCACTGTTGAGGACAAGAGATGCCTATATAAACTTGAGCAGTAAGCTCGGTTCATTGGAAGTGCATTAAACTAGGCTTCATGTAGAGGCATTCCAGAGGAGGGAAGGGACGGGAATGATCAGGAGAAAGCGCCAAGCCATTGCGATTGTATAGGACATGGAAGGTATCAAGATTTGGGATTGGATAAGGGAGTAAGGAATGGTGCCCAACCACTTGGACGGTCGGGGATTGAACTGATGGTGGGAGGAGAGTGTTGGCCAGGTGGAGATACTTTACCAGGCAAAGGCTCTTGTTATTTCCATAAAATATAAACAAAAATGAAAAGACTCAGCACAAAATTTTCAGAGTTGAGTTCACTAAAAATTTCTTTACTGACAGGAACATTTTTCACAAACTTTCAATAACAAGAAACCCAATAATTGAGGATTAACAAAAACGCGAAGGTTGGTGCAAATATTGGAATGGTTGACCCTCCAGTCCCGCTATATGTATACACGTGTACACACACACACACACACACACCAATATTTACATTCATGTATACACTCATACATGCCGACATATATGCTTACATACCTACATATATGCTTACATACCTACATATGTAGGTATGTAATACTTACATATATGTATACATACTCATGTACAGATATGTATGTGTGTGTATGCGCGTGTACTCACTTATTTGTGCCTTGAGGATCGAGCTTTTGCTCCTGGACCCTGCCTCTCTAGCCGCCGGTTGTGTAATGCAATGACTGATCTATTTTCCTATCATATCTACTCATACAAATTTGATTGGAGCTTACTTATAAAACTTGCTCATTTAGTTCAGTCCATACCAACTATTACTCAAAGAGAAAACTTTCCAACATCTATATGTCTCATCTAAGACTCAAGCTTCGTTCCACACTTACTTGTTCTGTTTGTGTTCTTAGTGAACATTTCCTCTTTTTTTCTATTCAGCAAATCCCCCGACGTATTTTATACACTTCTATCATGTCTCCCCTCTCCTCTTTTCAAGCGTCGTCAAGTTTAGTTCTTTCAGTCTCTCTTCATACCACATCTCTCGCAATTCTGGGATGAGCCTCATAGCAAACTTCAAAATCTTTTCGAGTTTTCTAATGTAATTTTTAAATGGGGGCTCCACTGTGGGGAGCTTAACACTAGACTCACTTAGGCGGTGTACAACGATCTAAATGTGTGTGTACTCACCTAGTTGTACTCACCTAGTTGTGTCTGCAGGATCGAGCATTGACTCTTGGATCCCGCCTTTCGAGCATCGGTTGTTTACAGCAATGACTCCTGTCCCATTTCCCTATCATACCTGGTTTTAAAATTATGAATAGTATTTGCTTCCACAACCTGTTCCTGAAGTGCATTCCATTTCCCCACTACTCTCACGCTAAAAGAAAACTTTCTAACATCTCTGTGACTCATCTGAGTTTCAAGCTTCCATCCATGTCCTCTCGTTCTGTTACTATTCCGTGTGAACATTTCGTCTATGTCCACTCTGTCAATTCCTCTGAGTATCTTATACGTTCCTATCATGTCCCCCCTCTCCCTTCTTCTTTCTAGTGTCGTAAGGCACAGTTCCCTCAGGCGCTCTTCATACCCGATCCCTCGTAGCTCTGGGACGAGTCTCGTTGCAAACCTCTGAACCTTTTCCAGTTTCATTATATGCTTCTTCAGATGGGGACTCCATGAAGAGGCGGCATACTCTAAGACTGGCCTTACGTAGGCAGTGTAAAGCGCCCTAAATGCCTCCTTACTTAGGTTTCTGAATGATGTTCTAACTTTTGCCAGTGTAGAGTACGCTGCTGTCGTTATCCTATTAATATGTGCCTCAGGAGATAGATTAGGTGTTACGTCCACCCCCAGGTCTCTTTCACGCGTCGTTACAGGTAGGCTGTTCCCCTTCATTGTGTACTGTCCCTTTGGTCTCCTATCTCCTAGTCCCATTTCCATAACTTTACATTTGCTCGTGTTGAATTCTAGTAGCCATTTCTCTGACCATCTCTGCAATCTGTTCAGGTCCTCTTGGAGGATCCTGCAATCCTCATCTGTCACAACTCTTCTCATCAACTTTGCATCATCCGCAAACATCGACATGTAGGACTCTACGCCTGTAAACATGTCGTTAACATATACAAGAAATAGAATTGGTCCCAGCACCGATCCTTGTGGTACTCCACTTGTTACTGTTCGCCAGTCCGACTTCTCGCCCCTTACCGTAACTCTTTGGCTCCTTCCTGTTAGGTAGTTCCTTATCCATTCTAGGACCTTTCCCCCCACCCCCGCCTGCCTCTCGAGCTTGAACAGCAGTCTCATGTGCGGTACTGTATCAAAGGCTTTTTGGCAGTCCAG